ATGTCTCCTTTAAATTTGAAGTATTCTCGTAATAAAGCTGAGAACTTATCTATATGAACTTTTAAAGAATCTGAGCGAAGTTGAGTCATGTTTAAAAGAGCGATTTCGATATGCTTCAATTTTGCTTCTGAAATACTGGCATGATAAGATTTAAGATAAGTCCAAAGAACATATGGATCATAGTGGATAACCATATCTCTAGTAATCTGATCTCTAACAGTTAGTTTGTCTCTAGCTCTGTCTCCATTTATACCATCACACTTGTTTAGAATCCAGGTAGTCAACAAGAACTTGATTTTCTTGTGTTTGTCTTCAGATAATGATGAATCCACAAAGTCTTTCTGATCAAGATATCCTTCGTAGCCTAACGATTCAATTGACTCGTGAATAACTACACTCCAATGATTATAATTTTCATCGGTCAAGTCGTTCTTGATATTGAATTTACTAAGTAAAGTAGTAGTTCTTTGTATGAATTGTTGCATAGGAGTAAGCGATTCATTGATGACAGCTTTATCGGTAGACATCATGGATTGATAAGATGATTGAAATTTCGGTGATAGAGGATGTTTTGAAGGTAAGACAAGAGACTTTAGACCTTTGACCGTATGTGTTGATTGGTCAGAATCGGAACTAGAGTTTGATTCAGTATCGGTAGGAATATCAGAAGAGTCGACAGTTTCGGAAGGATTATTTAAAGTATCAATAGTATCGATTTCTTCAGATTGCATCAATGGAAGATTACGTCGGATCTAAGAGTTTTCGAAAAATATCGAGACTCTCGCTACCATGAGAAGTTCAATAAGAACTAGCTATTCGAGCTTTTCAAAGTTGTGCTTCGCCGTATGACAAAAAGGACCTGGGGTTTTCAGGTCAAGCGTGAGCACTACGGCACAAGCCAAAAGAAAAGCTTCGAAAGCTAAAAGCAACACACCTGGGGTTTTCAGGTCAAGCGTGAGCACTACGGCACAAGCCAAAAGAAAAGCTTCGAAAGCTAAAAGCAACACACCTGTGCGTAAAGCAACAGGGAAACGTGAATAAAGACGTAGTCGGTAAAAAGGTAAGTAAAAGTAAAAATAATAATTTCTTTCCGATCATTGAACATAGATACTAACCTGGGGTTTTCAGGTCAAGCGTGAGCACTACGGCACAAGCCAAAAGAAAAGCTTCGAAAGCTAAAAGCAACACACCTAGCCACACACATTCAGGTTAGTAAAAAGAAAAAGCAAAAGATAAATATAAGAAACAGTAGGACAAACCTGTGCGTAAAGCAACAGGGAAACATGAATAAAGACGTAGTCGGTAAAAAGGTAAGTAAAAGTAAAAATAATAATTTCTTTCCGATGGGGAAAGAAATATTGTACAAAACGCTATCTAATATTTAAAGGACAACAACACTTTCTCAACCACGGACATACTTAGAAAGATTCGCAGGACACAAACGTCCTATTCCCAAAAAGAAAACGCACAACCCTTATTACACATAACCTTTCACCTCATAACATCTTAATTCGTAAACTTGTTTCCGTGCTTCTTCATTTATCTTGATCTTGTTAGTAAGAGTTAATAATGTTGTTAACAGTTATGATTACTACTGAAGTTCTTGACAGATCTACACCATTAAAAAGAAAAAAAAAACCCGCACACTACACATACACTCTACTACAAACTCAGACCTCAGACCCGTGGACTAGATACCACGACATGGAGAATACAGGTGCTGTATTCAAGAACACCCACTTTATTCACTAAAACCTTGCAATCAGCTCTAATAAGCTCTCTGGACCGCCCCCTATCGTGCAATAGGATATATTTTGAATTGAAATACAGAATAAAAGGGGGCGGTCAAACCTCACATGGGGGGGCTGCTTTTAGTAAAATCCAAAAAAAAATCACGGACAAAAAATACTATTTTTGTACTATACCTAAGAATTGATTCTGGAATATCTTCCAGCTTCATCAATATACATACACCGGAAAATTGATATTCCTTTTGAAAATATGTTTCTCCACATTTCTTTCCCCTGAAGCCTTCCTGTATGGGCAGTATTTCTATATGTAATTGTGGTGTGTACATGAGCAGTCAACATTTTGATTGATTCTTTGATTCTAGGCAGAATATGGCAAAGTTTATGGCAGAAGTCTTTGTAAAATACCATTTACATGTATATCAATCAAATTCAGAATGATTTGGCAATATGTTCCCTCAAAATCTGTCTTAGGGAAAAGAACTTCCGCAAATCAAACTTGCCAACACATTGAGGAATTAATGTAGAAATACTTCCCATACAGGAAGGCTTTAGGGGACAAAAATGTGGAGAAATATATTTTCAAAAGGATTATCAATTTTTTTTGTATGTATATTCATAAACCAGGAAGATATTCCAGATTCAATTCTTAGGTATAGTACAAAAAGAGTATCTTTGATTTTTTTTCAAACCTCAATAACTCAGGGCCCGTTAGGCTGGAACCCAAAAAACAGTTTTTGATCTTCATCAAAAACACCAGCGTTTGGTAACTTTTTTTGATCAAAAAACAAAAACCGTTTTTGATCAAAAACTTGTCAATTTTGAAAAAACGCCTTGAGGCTGTTTTTGTGACCCTTTTAATAAATTCTTTGTTCATATTACAAAAACTTTGCGTGTGCGCTATCATAGGGCTAGCAATGAAATAGTGTTGTGCTCTGTAGTGAGTGTTCCACACCTCTACATGATCCCCATAGTGGGTCTATCCCAATAGTGTTACTCAGCGGCCTTGAAGATAGTGGTTCATCGCACTGCTATCTGGGTACTCTGATATTGCTGTCCATTGCGTAGCAGTTTTGACCTTGCCCACACACAAGACAAAACAAGATGAAGAAGAAGTGTTTCTTCAGATATGTACATATATACAACAAGAATGAATAAAATCAAAAAGGCAGGAAAGGGCTAAAAGATTATCAGACATCTCTTCTAGAATGGGTAGACTTGGTACATATCCTTATCACCCGTTATGACTCTGAATTAGGATAACAACATAGTTCATCTCATATAGGAATTGAATCCTCACACCACGGGAATCAATGGGTTCAAAACTTGATTGAAGAAAGATGTGGTGACGGGGTTCACAACTTTCTTCAATTGCAAGTCTAGTTTGCAATTCACATTAGGGCCCGTTTGGCTGGAAACTAAATACTCCACCAAAGCCAAAAACCATATTTGGCCAAATACAGTTTTTGATTTTTGTCAAAGACACCGGCGTTTGGCAACTTTCCGTTTTTGATCAAGAAAACTTCAATTTTAAAAAACAGCCCTGAGGCTGTTTTTGAGACCAAAAAGAGTTTTTGACCTCATTTGCCCCTCCATTTCGATCTTTTGTTGACCTACTTGGTCGACTGTTTGGTAAACCAAAAAACCAAATTTTGAGTTTTTCAATCTGCCCCTTTTTCAAGGGGCAGATTGAAAAATCGTTTTTGTGTAACAATTTTTTGCAAAACCATCTGAACGGGCCCTTAGGTTTTCTGAGAACCCTGTTGGGGATTCATTACATTATTTTCCCTTTCAAGTTGTACTTGAAACACTTTCTCACTCTTTGTAATGTATCAATGAGCCCTTCTGTACATACTAATAGATACTAATATATCATTAATGCCACCTTTGCAATGACAAAATGTTTCTCCAAGTCTAAACCACAAGACTTATGAAATAGCTAAAAAAGAAAGCTGATGTCTATGTGATCACAGAGACACTAGACAAGCCTATTTTTCCATGTTGCTTCTCAATGTGTACACTATAAAAAACAGCTCATACCTTGATAATACTATATACTTCAAGAAATGTGAAGACAGTTGAGACAATACAAGAGTATCAAAGAGTTGAATTTTATAATTGGGAGGATGAGAGGAATCAGGGATCTTAACTAGGTGTATATGCAAGATCTTCAAGTTTATATGTATCATTTCCTTTCATGAGTGGTCAAGGATGTTCAGTGAACCCAAACTGAACACATTGTAAACAAGACTCACAGTTGAAAAAGGTTGTGAGCCTGGTCACACTCACTGCAACTTCCTTCAATCAGGTTTTGAACCTATTGATTCTTGCGGTGTCATTCAACCCTTATAAATATCAATTTTAATAAGAGTTCACAAGAAACTAAGTCAGTTTCAGGAATGAGTAGAGTGATGTTGAAATACACTTCTCACAATAATTATACCCGTAACTGTCATCTATTTACAGCCCTTTGCATGATTGATGACTGTGGAGAAAAAAAAACCCTTGAGTCTCAACAAAAAAAAAC